AAAAAAAAAAAAAAAAATACGTATGTGGCACATCCAAAACAATCTACAGATAAACTGTTAACAATAAAAGAGTTTAACAAGGTTAACAGATAGAAAAATCATGTTTTTAGAAAATCAATATTTATAGATGCCAGTAAAAAAAGAGAATTTTTTTTAAAAGATAGCATTTACAACAGCTCCAAACAAATATCAAGTACCTAGGAATAAATCAATCAAAAAAAAGCAAAACCTGTCTGAAGAAAACATTGAAAGACAGACTGAAGAAGACCTAAACAGAGATATAACATGTTCATAGATTGGAAGAGTCAATCAATATTGAAAAATGCCAAGTCTCTCCAAACCTATCCACAGAGCCAGTGCAATGCCCAGCAAAATCTCAATAAATTTCTGTATATGTGTGAGAAACTTGACAAGCTAATTTAAAATTATGTGGAAGAGCAAAGACAAAAATTCACGAAGAAGAGGAGGAAGGAAAGAAAAGAGAAGGAGAAGGAGTGGGAGGAGGAAAACTTGTGCTAACAGATTAACAAGATTTTTTTTGAGACACAGTCTCACTCTATCACCAGGCTGGAGTGCAATGGTGTGATCCTGGCACTGCAACTTCCATTTTCCAGTTTCAAGCAATTCTCCTGCCTCAGCCTCCTGAGTAGCTGGGACTACAGGCATGCACCACCACACCCGGCTAAAACAAGCTTTATTGTAGACTGGGCGCAGTGGCCCATGCCTATAATCTCAGCACTTAGGGAGGCTGAGACAAGTGGATTGCTTCAGCAAAGTTCAAGACCATGGTAAAACCCCATCTCTACCAAAAAAATGTAAGCCAGTTGTGGTGGTGTGCACCTATAGTCCCAGCTACTTAGGAGGCTGGGACAGAAGGATCACTTTTAACCCAGGAGGTGGAGGCTGCGGTGAACCATAATTGTGCCACTGCACTCCAGTCTAGGCGACAGAGCAAGACCCTTCCTCAAAAACAAAACAAAACAAACTTTATTTTAAAGCTGTCAATCTAAATAATAGGACCTCTAAAAGAAAAAGACATTCATTTGAGAGTAGGGTGTTGAAATTGGAATGCACATGCCAAAATAAACTCTATGTGTATTCAGGGAGGTAAAGGAAGACAAAGGTTTTTAAAGAAAACATGAGGATTAAATACATGCTCTGAAATTATTATGCTTTGCTACAAGGATCAATAAGAACAAGGAGTTCTAGGTTGAACAGGCAGTTGCTGGGCAGATGTTCTCACACAGGTACTTGTTGGGTAAGGTTGCAAAGGTCTTTGTGTAAGGTTGTGGTTTTTGCAAAGTATTTTGCAATAGTTTAGTTATGAGGCACACAAATGTGAGAGCCTTCCCTTCTTAGCCTTCCCCAGTTCTGTCAGGGAGTTTTGTTTCTTAACACAAGTG